TGCTGGACTTTTTTTTCCCTTCCCAGAGAAACAAGTAGGCCACAGTAATTACTCAGGGGCCTGCTGTGCGCCCTCAGAAGCCCCCCTGGTGGTATTTTCCTGCTACCTGTCTTTGTAGAGATGTTGACATCAACACGAACGATAACTATGCCAGTGCGGAGGAGGCTGAGCTGTTTCTTCCTCTCTCTCTTCTTTCTCCTTTCCTCCCTTCCTTCTTTCCTTCCTTCTTTCAAAAAAATTATTTATTTTGCGGTACGTGGGCCTCTCACTGCTGTGGCCTCTCCCATTGCGGAGCACAGGCTCTGGACGCGCAGGCTCAGCGGCCATGGCTCACGGGCCCAGCTGCTCCGCGGCATGTGGGATCTTCCCGTGGGATCTTCCCGGACCGGGGCACGAACCCGCGTCCCCTGCATCGGCAGGCGGACTCTCAACCACTGCGCCACCAGGGAAAGCCCCCTTCCTTCCTTTTTAAAAAAGTTCTTTTCTTGTTGGTTTTTTGAAAGTCTTCCCAAAGCAAAGGGGAGGAGGAGGGAAAAGCCAGTGCCTCCCCCGTCTGCATGTTACGTGCATCTCTGTGAGCTGGTGATGCGCTCATGCATCCCAGTACCTTCCTCTCCATCTGGGGCTGCTCCCTGAATGCGGATGGCTGGGGAGCCTCCCCCAACCTCAGGGCTGCAGTGCCCACTTCCTACAGGAAGCCCTCCTGAGGGCCCCTCACTCCCTCCTGGGAAGCCCTCAGAGCTTTCCCTGTTCCTGGGGGATGGCGGGGTAGCACTCTATGTTATTTGCTGTTGCCGTTATGTCAGAGCACATCTTCCCTCTGCTCTGGCCTGAGAGCTTTGGGACTTTGAGAGCTTTTTGGGACAAGACTGTGACTTGTTCACTTTGGAAGCCCTGCATCCTTTGCACACGGCGGGGCTCGGCGGGGACTTTAATTAGGTGCAATCGTCACATTGTCTGGGGCAATTTTAGGGGCCCACAGAAATATTTTAATATTCATTTATTTTAAAATGAAAAGAAAAAATAATGACTAATACAATTAATAACATAACATTATACCAACACAGACAAAATATATCTTAAAATATGTTTTTATGGAGGAAGGGGCTCAAGGAGGCCCAAGTGCCCACAGCCCGCGAATGTTGCATGTGGCCCTGGTGCTCAGTGGTCCTGTGGCCTGACTGTGTAAACCACACCTCCCCTACCCGCTTCTAGGGTCATCTTCCAGAGCAGGCATTGCTGCCAGTCAGGGACCTCTGTCCAGGCCTCAGAACCTTTCTGTACACAGACTCAGCCCAGCAGGGTTGGTAGATCAGGGTTAGGGTGAGTTCACGACTTTGGGCCTCTCAGGACTCATTGTTCCATTACTTCATCTATTCACTCAGACCACCTCTGTTTGGTATCGCACTTGAAGGTCAGTATGAGGTGGGGTGTCCCCAGGTGTGGAGTCAGAGTATGCTTATTCCAGGCCTGGGGCTGTGGTTCGTTGGCTGGTGACCCTGGGGCTGGCACTCAGTTTCCTCATTTGTCAAATGGGCAGCATTGGTTCTGCCAGTGTTTCACTCCGGGTTACTCTGTAGCCCAGTGGGTTAAGTCTGGGAAGGCCCTGGCTCATAAGAGGCACTCACTCAGTGCCATGGCGATGGTTTAATGTTCTGTCAAAATGCAAACAGTGGAGACAATTCACGTAAAAATGGGGGAGAGGTTCAGAAAACAGGACCTAAGAGGAATGTGGTCACCCACACCTGGCCCAGGTACCACTCTGGCTGGAACCAATGGGGTCCAAACAACCTTTCAACTGATTTTGGATCTTCTTTCCAATGACCTTGCTAAGCAGCTGCCCATTCAGTGCTTGAATACTCTTACTGATGAGGAACTCACTTCTTGACTGTGTTGCCTTCCCAGTTAAAGCTCTGAAAAGATGAAAAACTTGATTTGTATCCCTGAAAGATAAGGGAAGGGGGATAAGCTTGGTTGGAAGGCTTTGAGCTCTGTGTACCTCAGACAGGGCACCTGAGAGTTCTCAGGCAAACAGCACATAGAAATGTCAATTTGAGTCACGAATGACTCTCTTCTGCGCTGGGAAAAGCAGAGCTGTCTTTGAACCACCAAGGAGCAACGTGTATTAGCTATGCTTGAACCTCAATCCATTTGACTGAGCTCCCTGAACTTAGCCCTGAGGTGTAACCCCCGTACAGGGGAGCTGAGAATCACCATTCCAGGGGAATTCCTACAAACCAGAATGCATCTTGTTTCTTGATCTTTCTTTCTTTCTTTTTTTAACCCCAATGGGAAGTTTTACTTTCCCTCGCCATTTAAGTTTTCTGTAAGTTCCTCTGGCTTTTCTTTTGGACAGAATAAGAAACTACAGGGAACAAAATTGAAATGGACTTTTTTTTTTTTTTTTTTTTTGTCTTCAAAAAAACAATAACAGAGAGGGAGAAAGAAATGGAAAAAAAAAATAAAGTCCATCTGGGTTTGGTTCCAGTTTCAGTAAAGTTTCAGGCCTGTGCTTATTTTAACCAAGCCATTTGTCCCATCCCTATTTATACAACAGGATGCAAAATGAGGTGTTCCTTCCTTGTGTCCTGCTACCTGTCAAAAAGAAATCTGTCTTGGAGGAAAAGCCAGCAGCTCAAACGTCTTTCATTTGGATATGTTTTACTCGCCCCAAAACCCTACTCAACATGGAACTATGGCACCTGGTTGGGGTGCAGGGCAGAGCCCATCTGGTCAGCATGGGGAGAGATAAGCTTGGAGGCAGAAGACCTGGAAGCCAAGCTCTGTCTCTCTTTAGCTCTGCGATCTTAGTTCAGTTACTTTCCCCAGCCTTCTCCTCTGATAAAGGGGAACAACAGCAGTCATAACACCCACCTCTCAAGACTGCAGGTTCAGCAGAATTATATCATAATAGTAATAATCACAAAAACAACCATGACAATACTAGGAGTTACCACTCTTTATGTGGCAGGCACTGTGCTAAAAGTGATCTATGTGTAGTAGCTCATGCAAACCTCATTATAACCTGAGAAGAAGTATTATGATTGTCCCCAGTTTACAAATGAAAAGTTGAGCCACTCAACTTGGCTCTTTCTACAATGTCTAAAAGACACCTTGTAGGTCCCAGAGTTATATTGTGGAGACTTCACCATCACGCATCAAGGATAGCCTCACGTGACAAGAAAAAAAAAGGATGCTCAGAAAGTCCAGCCACGTCCCTCAGGGACCAGCGCCAACATCCAAACATGAGTCTCTTCAGTTGACCTGTATTATTTAGGGTATCGCTAACTGCCCTAACAGACCCCAACCTTTCAAGGGCTAGGACAACAGAAGTTTATTAGAAAAAAGAAACCTCAACAAACACCTTATTTAGTGCTCACAAAACAGACTGATGTGGGTGTCTGTGCTTGGCAGTGGCTCTCCTCCACTAGGTGGTTCAGGGACCCAGGGTCCTTCCACCTGGTGACTTGGCTCTCCTCCACCCAGCTGGTGGATCAGAAGAGGTAATACAGAAATGCACTGGCTTCCAAACGGCCACTTACACTTCATTGGTTGAAACTGGTCACATGGACCCACCTAGATGCAAAGGAGCCTGGGAAATGTAGTCCTGAGCCAGCCTGTGACAATTCTCAAGTCTGGAAGTAAGTTGATAGACAGCTTATTATCTCCGTCGCAACATCTGGACTTCTTCCTGAAGGAAAAACACTGTGGGTCACACATCAAGTTATCTAAAGACTTGAAACCAGCCCCACATGGACTTCACTGCAGGCATCATGGAAAATTCCAGAACACTCCCTTAGAAGCAAGCAAGCAAACTCCTCCCCCACAAATGATCTTCAGCCTGTGTCCTGAAAGCTCTGCCTTGTGTCTCTCTTCTGTGTCACATTTTATGTAATCTGGTTTTCCTTTTTAGAATTTCACACAAGAATAAAAATGCAGTGCATTCTTCTCACGTCTGCTCCACCTCTGCATTGCTTGGGCCCAAAGATTTTCAGGTGGGATCATTATTTTTGATAGGAGAGCTGTAACTTGGAATGAAGATGACAAATACAGAACATTTTTATTTGCAAAGAGAGGGAAAAAGGGAGAAAAAAAATATCAATCTTAGAAGCAAGATACATAAAAGGACATCCAATTGGGATATGCTCGGGTGAAAGCATCATTTTGTTTAAAAACAGGGACTTTTTCCCCACAGTCGATATGTAGGGCTCATAGCTACTCGTTGAATAAAAGCATAAACTAGATCAAAAAATTTTTTAACTCTCTATCAGAGAGAAAGAGGGAGAACATTTAAGTTACTTACTGATATCTTCATGTTTTCAAATTTTAGAGCCAGTCGCAAATTTCATAATCAACTCAACCATTCCTCTCATTTTATAGATGAGGAGACTTGCAGTCAGAGCTGTGTCAGAACAGTTTCTAAAATGCTTTCCCCAAGCTATTTTCCACGTGGCTGCCAGATCTATCTTTCTAAAGTAAATATCCAACAAATTGCATCATTGCTTGAAACGTTTCAAATTACCATCACCTACCAGATGACAGCTGACTGCCCTCCATCAGCTCAACCCTGTCCCCTCTGGCTTCTTCTCATGCCACTCCCTGCCTCCCGGGCTCCTGCGGGGCTGAACTCATCCACCATGCCAGTCAGCTCAGAAGTCAACTCCAGTGAACAGAAGAAATTCCCTTTCCTGGTTCACTGCAATGCTACTTAACCAACCCAAGCCCAGAAATTACTGCGTGGTACTGAAACAGGAGGGAAGGGGACAGGGCACAACCTCTAAAAGAATGGCATAGCCATAGGACATGACAAAAACTGGTTAGAACCAACTAGGTCCCAGATGGCAGAAGATTCAACTTCCAGTGGACCTTGAGCCCCATTATACACTCATTGTAATGCATTAGCTAAATGACACACCCACCAGCGCCATGACAGTTCCAAGGATGACCATAAAAGTCCAAAAAGTGGGTGGTGCCTCAGTTCCTGGAAATCTTCACGTTTTCTCCAAAATAGTTGGAATAATCCTCCCACTCATTAGCCTGTGAAATTACCCAGCCCGTGAAAACTAACCACCCCAGATTTCGGGGCCTGTCGCCTTCTGAGATGGCCCACACTCTGTCTGTGGCGTGTGTATCTCTCTAAATAAATCCACTCTTACCTATCACTTTGTCTCTCACTGAATTCTTTCTGCAATGAGACATCAAGAACCAGAGCTTCAAGTCCTGAGACCAGGTGTGTGATCTCAATTAAAAGACAGTGGGTTCGGGCTTCCCTGATGGTGCAGTGGTTGAGTGTCCGCCTGCCGATGCAGGGGACATGGGTTCGTGCCCCGGTCCGGAAGGATCCCACGTGCCGTGGAGCGGCTGGGCCCGTGAGCCATGGCCGCTGAGCCTGTGCATCCGGAGCCTGTGCTCCACAGCGGGGGAGGGCACAAAAGAGTGAGACCCCTGAATTGAAAAAAAAAAAAAAAAAAGTGGATCAAGTCCCAGTCTAAGTTGTACAGTTTCAGTACCCAAAAGAAGCTCTTTGTATATTGATGGTTTTTCTACTCATCCTTCTAAGACTTTAAGCCTGCCAGATGCTCTCTTTACATGATGATCCCCTCATTAAACTGTGGGCTCCCGGAAGAAGCAGAAGCTGTGTTTTATTGTTTTATTGATTATTCTCTTTCCAGGGTCTGGTGTAATACTATGCTCTTACATAGATGTGCCAAAAACACTTGTGTGACTGTTGCCTCTGACTGGGCTACGGTGTCCTATTGGCTAAATCCAGAGCCCCTGTCGAGTGCTCTTTGCTTGCAATGTGCATGGCTGGGCTTCCTCATCACCTTGGGGTTTGAAACATCATCCATCAGAACGGCTTTTCCTGACCTCCTGGTCTAAAAAATGTCCATCAGTCTCTGTATCAGTCAGGGTTCTCTGGAGAAACAGAACCAATAGGAAATATAAAATAAGGAATTAGCTCATAGGATTATGGAGGCAGAGAAATCCTACAATCTGCTATCTGTAAACTGGAGCCCAAGGAAAGCCAGTGGTATAGATTTGGTCCAAGCCCAAGGCCTGAAAATCAGGACAGCTGATAACAGTCTAAGTCTCAGGCTGAGTGCAGGAGAAAACCAACATCCCACATACATACACTACTATGTATAAAATAGGGAACTAATGAGAATGTACTGTATAGCACAGGGAACTCTACTCGATGATCTGTGGTGACCTAATGGGAAGGAACTCTAGAAAAGAGTGGATATATGTATATGTATAACTGATTCAGTTTGCCATACAGCAGAAACTAACACAACATTGTAAAGCAACTATACTTCAAAAAAACAAAAAAAACAAACCAAACAAAAAAAACACCAACGTCCCAGCTTGAAGACAGGCAGAGAGAACAAATTCTCTCTTCTTCCACTTTCTTTTCTATTCAAACCCTCAATGGATTGGATGAGGGCCACCCACATTGGGTAGGACCCTGTGCTTTACTCAGGGTACTGATTCAAATGCTAATCTCCTCCAGAAAAGCCTCTCAGACACACCTGAAATAGTGTTTAACCAAATATTTGGGCTCCCTGGGACCCCATCAAGTTGACACTTAAAATTAACCAACACGTTCTCTGTCTCTTTAACCTGCTTTGTTTTCTTTGTAGCATTTATCACCATCTAATAGAGTAAAGCTGGATTTCTTTACTTATTTATCATCTGTCTCTCCAGCACTGGAATGTGTCATGAGAGCAGACCCTCAGTCTGTTACGTTTGCTGTTCAATTCCTGTGCCTAGAACCAGGCCTGGCACCTAGTAGGTGATCAAGAATTATCTGCAAAGTGAATGGATGAATCATGTAACTAACAAGTATACTAATCCAGGATGGTCTCCCAGAGCAGACCTCTGTTTTTTTCTATGAAAAAAAGAGAGAGAAAAAAAAACCCCAAAATCAAAAAAACCACGTTATACTGAATCTTTCCCAAAAGTTTAATGTCTGGGAAATACAAAAACAAACAAAAACAAAATATAAACAGTTGAACCAAAACCTCCCCCAAGCCCCCAGGGATTCCTCACAATACAGCCAACACGAGTCCTTTGAAATCTTACTCAGGAGATATGTGCTGTGGGAAGAAACGAGGAAGAAATAGCAGATTTCTCGGTTTTATTTTTATGACCAACTTGCTAGTTAACAGTGGGAGCAATCAATAAACTTTAATAGAAGGCTATTACTTTAGGGTTGTAGTAAACTGAAGAATAAAGAATAATAGCTTTTCAACCTTTTATCAGTCTGGGGAGCTCATTTAATATGCACGGGAAAATACATTATAATAATTTTTATAACTGTGCAGTCCAGACCTCTCTAAAGATTTTCCAGGAAGTAAGTCATGTGCAAAGAATCCAACCCAAATAGATGGTACAGAAACTGTGTGGCTACCGTGGGTGAGGGCAGCCCAGCTAATTCTATCAAGAATTGGATGTTTATATTAAAAACGCCACTGGGTTCTACACTGGCCGGAGCAGCTCACTGCTGACGTGTTAAACCAGTCCTCCTTAACAAAGTGGACGGATCAGTCCCATTTGGAATCATTGAGACTTGTAGACAAATACACTCAAGCTTTAAGTATATAATTTTTAACCTCTTAGAAAGGTTGCATGATGTGTTATGAAACTATTTCTGTGCGGAGCTCAAATGTAAGGCTCCTCAAAGGAGCCCCATTAATCCTAATTTAATGTGCATCTGGTCACCATTTGGAAGAGGAAATAGGCCAAGAACTGAAGAAACAACCTGTGTTCGTGCACAAAAAAAGGCTCTGAGTCCATGTCAAGGACCTTCGAGGCTCCTCCAGCCTCTCAGCTCTCTGAGCCCACAGGACTATTCCAGGTACAACCACGCCCTTTGACCCACCTGTCTCTTGTCTCCTTACTGACCATCCTGGCCTACTCTCCACTCTGCTGAGAAAGCGATTGCTGGGGTCTAGAACGAGCTCCCCAAATGAGTCACTTTTGTGTAAGGGTTATAAGGAGAGAAAGGCAATGGCGACCCTGCAGGTTTAAAAGAAACGACTGCCCCTCCCAAACCTAGCTAGAAAAATTTAAATTGGGGAATTGTCCCAGCAGAGAGTTATAACAGGAGATATATTTATCTGAATGGCCCCAACTCCGTGGCAGGGCAAACATCTAATTACCAAATATCTGTTCTTCCACTTATTGTCCTGTGAATGACCCTCCTGTCCTTGGAAGCCCCAGGCCCCATCCCCTTCCTTAGCTCCGGTTGGCATATAAACCTCATTTTACCTTTCTGTCTCTGACTCTCTCATGTATGGGGGGTTCCTGTACATACAAAATTAAATTTGATTTTCTTTTATTAATCTGTGTTATGTCAATTTAATTCTTAGGTCAGCCGGGAGAAACTAGAAGGATAGAGGAAAGTTTCTTCCTCTCAATATGATCATTCTACACTGACAATCTTGTCTGTGTCTCCCCTGGGACTACCAAAGGTCCACAGAAGAAAGTTCAAGTTCAAGGCCCCAGGGAACAGGGCTGGGACTAGCGTGAGGCAAGGGAGGTATTCTCCTCAGTTGCAAAATTTAAGAGGGTGCAGAAAAACCCAGCCATCCAGATAAATAACATTTAACGCACTATGTTTGAAGTTAAACTTAATGCAAAAAAAAATCCATGATGAACAAAAAGATCAACATTTTAAATAAATATGGGATCAGGCCTGCTGGGCTCTATTGGAACCTGAGGCCAAAGGTAAAAAATGAGTACGACTGATCTCGTACATAAGGTCAAGTATGCTTTTGATCTTTTGTTTATCATGGACTTTGCATTCATTTTGAATCTTTAGACAATATTGCATTAAAATATTATTTATCTTAAGGACAGAGTTTCTCAAAGTCCCCTTAACAATTCTGCAGCCAGTGTGGGTGTCTGACTCATCCCGCCCCCGCAATCTTAGCCCTGCCAGAATTAGACCCTTTCGCCTCTGCAGTCCCACTGTCCTTTGTTTTGTTCCGTGACACCAGGGAGGTGGATTGTGGTGTGTGTCTCCTCTCTTACACTGGGAGGACGGCGCTATGATTTCAACTTGTGTTTGCATCTCCCAGGCCTCACCCAGTGCTCTAGGCACCGAGATATTGAACTAGAAGATGCAGGCTGCAGAGGGTGGCATTCGAAAACTTTTATGCTGCCCCATACCTGTCAAAGAGCCTCACAGCTATGCCTTCTCCACCCCCCTTCACCTTTCACACTGGACTGCTCAGTGTTTCTTGGTGTCACCCTGAAGCTCGAGACCTTTGCCGATCCTGTTTTCTGTCCCTGGATTTCCCTACGTTTTCTCCCCTGCCACCGTGCCAGGAAGAGGCTGCGTGCTGGTGACCCACAGCCTGGATGTACATCTGGATTCTTACCTCTTAGCAGGTGTATAGCCTTGGCAAGCTGTTCAGCCTCCTTGCACCTGAGTTTCCTCATCTGTAAAATAAGACAAGCGTAGTGCCTCCTGGAGAGGGTTTTTGAGGGTTCTATAAATTAATGACTATAAAGCCTTTAGAACCAAGCAGTGTGAAATAAACTAGAGAAACCAGCCAGGTATAGTGCAACAGCTGGGCCGAGAAATAGTGGGTGTTCCCATGTCTGGGGCAACGAAAGACAATGCTTGGATACCCAGATCCAGGCAGAGTGCTTGTAAGGAAAACACTAGCTTCATAGACAAACTGTGGCATCCTGGGGGATAAATAAGTACCCTGTCCTCCTCTCTTTCTCTTGCTATGGTTCCTCTAACTGGATGCAGGACTGAAACCAAGAAGGACACTGTGGGGCTCCTGGGCATGGAAGCCTTTCTGTCCCCCATTTCTTGTTTGTAGGGAATAGACTACAGCCTCCATGACATTTCCTGAGTTCTAAAGGACAGATTCGAACAGTCGCTAATCAGGGAAGGGAGGGAATGCAGGGAAAAGGGAGGAGCCGCCAAGAAACAATGGTACAGACTTGGAGCAGGGTCCTGGTTCTGCCTCAAGGGGATACACAGTGATATCAATGAAAACCCCAAACAAATGGAAGATGTTAGCATTCTTCATTCCAGATGAAAGGAACCAGAGAGGATCTGCAAGA